TTCGGCAGCCGTCGTTTCCTCAATCCTCGAGCCTCGCGGCGTCTTCGCCTGGCTCGGAGGACGCTCCGGGGAGGATGGGCTCGTCGGACTCGCCTTGGTAGCCGCTGTCCTCCGCTCGTCCGCGGTGTCCGTCGACTCCGTCCTAGCGGCTCCCTTGCGGCAGCTCGGGACTGATCCACTTCGGCAGCTCTCTCTCGACGTTCTCCTTGTTAGATGTATGTCGGCTAAAACAAGCCTCTTTAGAGTGGATTCGCCTGTCGGTCCTTAATTACGCATAAAAATAATAATAAGGAAGCGATTCACCTGGCATATTTGGTCCGTTCGATGTTCCTCGTCATGATTTCTCTTCTCCCTCGGCGGCAGCAAATCCTTCCTGATGTCTTCTTCCTCCTGATCCGACCTCTCGACACCCGCACTCTTTCTTTATACACACAAAATATTCGGGCCACGCACGCTCGAGTCCTATTTGCCTCACAGTTAGGACGCGACATCCACCTGCAGCCGGGAAGCCCGCTTGCGGCTTCCTAACGACTTTCCGAGTGACGGACGATAAAAAATCGTGATGTCACAGTGTTTGTGCCATCTGTTGTTTTCGTCGATTACGTCAACAATTACTGGCGAGATTATTCGCTTTACCGTTAGTGGTCCTATGTATTTAGGAGCTAACTTTGCATTTACAGCTTCTTCTTTACTGGATAGCGTATGCGCTTTTTTCCAAACGACGTCTCCGATTTCCGGTTTTTAGGGCCTCCTTCTTAGATTATAATATTTTATAGTGTTTTTGGAACGCGCGAGCTATGTGGATCCTTACTAGCTCGTAGGCCTCATTTAGTTGTTCCCGGAGTTTTGTTGACGTTTCTGTTTGAACTTGGTTACGTTCAAATTTGTGTGGTCCTGCGAGCTCTCTACCATTATTTAGAAATGCTGGTATCCTGTGTCCTCGTTTCGTGCCGTATTAAAAGTGAATTTTATCTGGCTTAAGTGTTCGTCCCAGCTCCTGTGGTCATTTTCCACATATTGAGAAATCATAGTTTTTACCGTTCTGTTGACTCTTTCCACGGGGTTGCACTGCGGAGTCCAAACCGGTGTCCATCGTTGTTGTATACCCAGGTCCTTGATAATTTTCTTCATATTACCTGACTTGAACTCCGGAACTTGAAGTCCCGTTATCCGATACTATGGTGTCAAGGCATCCGTGCCGGTATATGATTTCCTCCAGGAACCCTTGTGCTACTGCGGTGGCCGTTGTCTGGCGTAACGGCTTAATTTCGATTCACTTAGAGAATCGATCTTGCATCGTGAGGATCCAGGTGTATCCCTTTTTGGATCTTGGTAGCGGTCCTATTAGATCAAGGGATACCTGTTTCCACGGTTTTTGGACATTGGTTGCGTGCAACTGTCCTGCTGATTGTAGCTGCGATGCCTTGTGAGCCGTGCAGTTTCTACATCTTTTTACATATTGGCTGATGTCTCGAAACATCCCTGGCCAATAGTATAGTCGAGCTAATCAAACAAATTATCTTAGCGATCCCGAGGTGTCCAGCCGACGGATCGTCATGATATTTCTCGAGTATTTCTACTCGTTGATCGCGAGGAATGCATCGTTTCCACTGGTCTTGACTTGATACCTCTTTGAAGTCAAGATTATGTAGAATATGCCTGTATAGATTGCCGTCTTTTATCTGGTAATCAGGGTATAACTACGGTTGTTCTGTTACCTCTTTGTTCTTCTGGTTGTACCATCGGCAATCTATTGGCTATATCGCGGCGATTATCAGCTGTCGTGAAAGCGCATCGGCCACCTTATTCATACTTTCTTTTCGGTAACGTATGTCGAAGATGTATTATTGCAATTCGAATTTCCACCTGCCTAAGCGTCTCTATGGCGATTCCAACTTCTGCAACTATCATAACGATTGGTGGTCGGTAAGCACGGTAAATTTATATCCCTCCAAGTAACACCGCATCTTGCGAATTTCCCATACGACTGCCAGGCATTCGAGTTCAGTCGCATTGTAATTTTTTCGGCGTTGTTCAGTGTCCGACTTGCGTAGGCTATCACCCGTTCGCCTTCTTTGAATACTTGCATAAGTACGGCTCCTAGTCCGTGAGTGTTTGCGTCAGTTTGCAGGATGAATTCCTGGTTGAAGGCTGGACACGCTAGAACTGGTGCGATAATCAATGTGCTTTTTAATGTTTGGAAGGCTTTTTCTTCCTCCTCCTCCCATTTCCACTTTGCTTTTTTCTTTGTTAATTTTGTTAGTGGTACTGCTATTTCTAAGAAGTCTGCGATAAAACGTCGATACCATGACACCATGCCCAGGAATTGGCGTATGTGGCGGACGGTTGTCGGTGCTGGCCATTTTGCCACTGCATTAGTTTTTTCTGGATCTGTTCTGATTCCCTGTCTGTCTACTATGTGTCTTAAGTATTTTAAACTGGGTTGATAAAAATGACACTTTTCTGTGTTTAGTCGGAGGTTTGCCTTCCGCATTTGAATACTTCCTTCAACAGCGTTAAGTGTTGTTCGAATATTTTAGTGGCGATAATTATGTCGTCCAGATATACTTGAACATTCTCTTCCAGTTCCAGGCCTATGATTGTGTCTAATAATCGCTGGAACGTTGCTGGTGCGGAGTGTAATCCAAAAGGCATTACCTTGAATTGTTTTAATCCTCTTCCCGGTACTGTGAAAGCGGTAACAGCGCGGCTTTCCAGTGTAAGAGGGAACTTGCCAGTAGCTGTTTTCCAGATCCAATGTCGTGAAGTATGTAGCTCCTCTCAGTTTGTCCAGCGTTGCAATGATTTGCGGTAAGGGATAGGCATCTGTTTCGGTTACTTCATTGACTTTTCTGAAGTCGATGCAAAATTGGTGCTTCCCGTCCTTCTTTTTCACCAAAATGATTGGCGAGCTCCATGGACTCTGTGATGCCTCAATCCCGCTTTTTCTATTTTATCCACTTCTTTATTTATTATGCTCTACATTGCTGGGTTCCTTGGTCTATAGCGCTGTTTTATCGGTTCTGTTCCTAGTTTTATTCGAATCTTGTGCTGTAGTACTTTTGTCGCACCCTTAATATATTCGAATTTTTGGAATTTGTTCTGCAGAAATTGTTCTAATTTCTGCGTTTCTTTGGCTGTGCGCGGTTGCATACCTTCCGATATTATACATGTTCTTCTTTGAACTCTGATGTATTCCTGTCGATGGCGGTAATGTTATCCGAAGCCTTGCCCATAAGTCTACTCCGATCAGCATCGGGCTTTCGAGATTCGGTATGATGTCGAAGGTATGCCAATATTGTTTGTTGTTTATGGTCACTGGTAGATCTACCTTTCCTTGAGTTTTTATGCTTGCTCCATTCGCTAGGCGTATCGATTTGTTTCTTTTCTGTATTGGGTGTTGCCACTTATTCGCTAACCTTGCGTTTCTCTGGCTTATACAGGAGATTTCGGATCCGGAATCAATTAATGCTGTAATCGGTGTCCTGTATATCTTAATTCTTACATACCGGCGTGGTATGTATATTATTCGCGGTGTCTTCGGGACCGAGATTCGCTCTATTGTTCTTCGGTCCGTGTGGCATTTCCCGGGCGTGGATGGCAGTCTTTCGTCAAGACTCCATCTCTTCCGCATTGAGAGCAGAACTTCTTAGCCGGTTGTCGACAAAATCTTCTGGTATGTCCCCTTTGCTTGCAACGCCAGCAATACTCCGCGGAGTTGTATATTGCTGCCGTTGCTGGGATTCGCGGTACCGGTCGTGTATTTGCGCGGAAGTTCCTTCTTTGCTGCTCAATGTCTTCTATTTCCGCCACTTAAGCTCCTAATTCTTCTAATGTGTGCACGTTCTCTCTTCTGATGTATAATTTTAAATCTGGCGACATATTCCCGTATGTTTGCTCAATCTGGTCTCTTTTCAAGAATCTTCCTGCTCTTCTCATAAGCGTCGCTAGTTCTGTGGCGTACTGTCTGAACGGTTCGTTCGTTTGCTGCAGCCGTCTCTGTACCTCTATTTTTAATTGTGCCTTATGTCTGTACGGGAAGTATTGTTCACGAAATGCGTTCGTGAAGTCGCTCCAATCTTTCCACAATTTTTTGTTGTTCCTGTACCAATGTAAGGTACTTCCGCGTAATAATTCAAGTAAGCCTTGTAACATTTGTTCGTCTGTGTATTCATAGCTCATCTGTAGTTCTTCAATTCGTTCCAGGAGAGATACTGGATCTTTCCCATCGAAGTGGCATCCCCATTTGCGTATTTGATTTATCGTTTTCGCAATTATCGTGGGGTCGTGTCTGTATGTTATTTCCGTTTTTTGACTCGTTCCTTCATCTTCCGCCCTACTCGCGAATAATTGCGGATTATCGGTCATGTGTTTGCTTAATCTCCCTCTTAAATCGTCTAGGGTGCCCTCCGTGGACAGTCCTAGCTCTGCCATTTTTTTAATTATTTGGTCTTTTGCTAGTGTACAGATCCACTGTTTCATCATTTTTTCTTTTATGAGTCTGTTTTCTTTTTATCCTTTATCTGTTCGGGCGCCAATTTATAACGCTCTTGCGTTACGCGCGGGATAGACTTAGTCGAAGCTGTCCAGGGTTTAACTCAATAAATTTGAAGCAGTGGCGTAAGTAATAAGAAATGTAAAATATGTTCTTAAGTAAACGCTATTTACAATTATTTACAGATAGCGCGACGCCGTTGGTGCGTGGTCGCGTTTTTGCTCACGTCGTAAGTCTTAGTTGTCGTTGCGGTGACAGCGTCCAGGCTCGCGCGCGTGTCGCGGGACGCGGTTGACGTCGCTTCGCGATCTTCTATTGCCCGCGTTGTATGAGTTTGTATACTCAGCAGGATTTAAAGTGTTGTTGATACCGGCTTTTAACTGAGCCCGTTTCGGAACGGTCGCGGTGTGACTCGCGACTTGTATACGCGAGATGCGTTATGCGATGTCGGAGCGGTGCTAGGTAGCCGATGTCGACGTCGCCAATCCACCTCGGTCGATGGAACGGTCTGGGTAGAGGATGTCGACGTTGTGTATCCACCTCGGTCGACGAAACGGGTTAGGTAGAGGATGTCGACATCGCGTATCCACCTCGGTCGACGGAGTGTCTAGGAAGCGGTAAGGTTCGCTACGAGTTCTGTTCGGTTGAGAGTCTCAGAGGAGCTCTCCGACGGATCTCCCTCGATCTCGATTTTGCGTCGGCTTTTATACAAATTTTAAGAAACAGCGAAGCTGTTTGCTGACCTCGCGGATGTTCGGCGCTTGTTTCGCGGATGTTCGGCGTAAACAATTTATTGTTTGTGACGATGACTTTTACGAATCGTCATAATACAATAATAAACGCCAAAAAACGTCTCAATACGCGTATTCTTATGTATTCGTCGTCGGCGACGCTGTAGCCGAACCTGAAATTATTAAAGAGCAGATCGGTGATCGACTTGAACCCGCTGGCCTGCACCGACAATATGGACGTGATGAATCCGACGTAGGCGTTATACTTGACGAGTGCGAACATCAGACTGAACATTATCAGGGTCTTGCCGGACGGGGTTCGTGGTATCCACGGTGATCCTGGAAGTTTCATTTTTCACACACACGATCTCGCCACACCTTCACGATATTAACCCTTTCGTAGCATATACTGAAGGAAATTATCCTATAAAAAATTAATAAACGGATATTTCCAATCAAAATACCGATGAATTTTTATATCTTAGCAGAACGTCCGAATGTATTTAGTCGAATACTTCTGATCATAATGGCATTTTATCAGATAAACCGACCAAAAAAATGATAAACCGATATTTCTCATTTGATGTTTCCTGATCGGATACAAAAATTCATTAGTATTTTGGTCCGCAACATTCGTTTGTTATTTCCATTTTACGTTATCGTAATTTTCATAGTTTTGCTTGGTTGAAAAAAATAAAGACTTGTGATTTTAATTAACAAACTTATGCGAACCAAATAACACATGATAAACTTAAGTAATTTTAGCAGATAACCCAACTATCAGTCAGATAAAAAGTTTGAAGATATGAAGTGTTAAAAGCGATAAGGACGATCGCCAAACGCGATAAACCTAAATAGCATAAAAAGAATTGGGTCAACATTGAATCTACAGAAAAAAGACTTTTTCTTATTTTTGTTTTACATATTTTAAACATATTAAAATCTTTAAATGAGATTACGTAATGTTAAACGGAAATGAGTTGCTTGCAAGAATATATTTTATATAATTTTCAACATAGAAAAGAACTTATGTTTTTATTACAAAATAATTTTCGTTAAGGAGGCAATTCCTTCGATTTTGAAATCTCACAAATTAGCACTTTTTACGAATTTTTTTTCCGAAACTATGCGGGCAACAAATCCCAAACTTTGTATGATTATTAAGATATATTTTATTAAAACTTTCTAATTTTTACAAGCAGAAATAATATATAAAATCATACTTATAATGATATACGTGCAAGGTGTTGATTTTCATGATCACCACGATTGCGAGGCTCTCCGTGGTCTAAAACAAAAAAAAAGCGAGTAAGAAAATTAATCTACAGACTTACTGTTATCATCTAAAGTATGAAAATGCAAAACGAACCATTTTTTCAATTAATTTAAAGTGTATAAACATAAAATTTAAAAAATGGGCTAAAAATTTTATGTTTATACACCATAAATTAATTGAAAACTAGTTCGTTTTGCATTTCCGACTTCAGACGATAGCAGCAAGTCTGTAGATTATATTTCTTACTTGTTTCAGACCACGAAGAGACTTGCAATCGTGGTAATCATGAAAATCAATACCTTGCGCACATATCATTATAACTATGATTTAATATATTATTTCTGCTTGTAAAAATTAAAAAATTTTAATAAAATATGTTTTAATAACTATACAAAGTTTGTCGCCCGCATAGTTTCAAAAAAAAAAATTCGTAAAATGTGCTAATTTTTGAGACATAAAAATCGAGTTGCCCGGTTAAAGCACAAAACATTAGATTGGAAATATTTAAACATTAGATTGGATTTTTAAACGTGTGTTATGCCTCAGGTTCTCCTATCAGCTTGAAATTGATATATTCAAATCAACAGTATATTATATATCATTGTTTAATGTATAAGCAACAATATATAATTTTGTTACAAGAATTTAAACAATTATTTGTTAAATGTAAAATGTATTGATATGCAAGTTATCTTCATAATGCTTTTTAGCTATGTAATTGCATTTGAAGGTTAACATGTGAAAAATAAAGATATTTTCCAAACAAAGATGCCCTTTTTTTGTTGTATAGCGGCCAATGTAGAATCTTCTACAGTGGCCAACTATTGTCCAACTGATACGTGCTGCTACGCGATACGTCCTTTCTCTGATGAAAGGACGAAAAAGAGAAGATGAGGGAGAAACCTTGCATGCACATAATATTGATGCACCAAAGCATGGCCTCGCCGATGCCGACGTGCTTCTCGTCCTCATTATGTAGCACCGTCTTGGCGGCGTAAATCACCGTCGTCATCGCGATTAACAATATGAGGTACGTTGCCGCGACGCAGCCGAGCAGCCGGTTATTGAATGGCTGCAGAAATATATCCCTCATCGTGCCGGACTCCAACGGATAGTAATAAATATTCCTCCTGCGCAGGATAATTGTGCACACAAAAATGTATTATATAACTTAATGGTTCAAATATTCTTTTAAAATAGTGAATATTAACAGAAGAGAATCATCTTTCTTGACTTACGTGCTTTCGTTCGTGTCAAGTAGTATCGAAAGTTATGATGATGTGAAAGTAACGAGCAAATGATCGAATCGTAATAAAAAAATTAATTTTTTTAAGTTATTTTCTCGTAATTTTAACGCCATTTTGACGTCGTCGTAATCGTTTCTTTTATTTGTTCGGGGTTTCACCGAAATCAAAGCATCTCGCGGAGGAAGAAAGGATTTTTTAAAGAAATTTCTTAGAAATATATTACTTATCGTGCCGACTTCAAAAGGCGGATATTGGTGAATCATGCAAGAGAAAAAAACTCAATAAACTCCAATTGATAATTACATCACTGAGAGAAAAATTATAACATTAATATAATGTTACTGTTAGTTGATGTTTACTAGGATATTACATGCTTTAATAGTTTTTAATACTAATGAATGTTAACAGAAAAGAATCATTTTCTCTCATTTACGTTTGTCCACCGAGATCGGAAATCAAAGCGACTCGCGGAGTGAGGCTTCAAGAGATATTGTCAGAATTTTCCAAAAATTTCTCAGAAGTTCTCAGCTGATCAAAGATCACATGATATTCCCCATACAACGTCTAAGATTTGGACATCAGACGTCTAAAAGAGGTCTTAAAGATGTTTCTCAGACGTTAGAATATAAGTCGTCTCTAACACGTTTTTAAGACGTCTTTAACACCCAGACAACATAATGTCTAAAATCGGGACATAAGACATCTTAAAGATCATCTTTAAGATGTCTTTCAGATAAATGTCTTTAAGACGTCTTATGTCCCGATTTTAGACATTTTGTCTGGGCACATCTTATGTCCCGATTTTAGACGTGTTGTGCTATGGATCAGGCCTGCCGTATGTATGTATACGCGGATGTGTTTTGCATGAGCGTATTCGGGTGTGACGCGGTTCACGCGGTTATCTGTGCCAAATAGTACGCATATAGTCAGACGTGAACTAGCATATCGTGTCGTGGCATGATAACTAACCAGACAAATGTCCAAAATCGAGCCATAAGACGTCTTTAGGACGTTTTTAAGACATCTTTAAGACAATACCTTATAAACTTGTCTTAAGGATGTCTTAAAGATGTCTTAAAGACGTCTTATGACCCAATTTTGGACATTGTGCTCTCTGGGTACCCAAACAGCACAAACTGCTAAAAGATATTCTTAAAGACGTCCAGAAAACATCCAAAAAGAATAAGGATATCTTTTGGACATCTTTAAGACGTTAGTAGATTGCATTTTGCATTATGCATAGTTCCAGTAAGAAACTCACATCTAACTCTACAATTGAAATATGAGCAAGAGTAATATCTAGTTGATTAGTTAAAAGTTAAGTTAAAAGGTAATAACTTTTAACTTTAAGTTTATTTAATTTCAAATGAGTTGAGTTTTAACTTAAATCAGTTACTTTAAAATGCAGTAACTTTATGTTATTAATTTTTATCTGGATAAAAATAAAGAAATACATGGTGCGCATAAGTCAACGGGATTGGAAGGTGGCTCAAGATGAGTTGAGCATGGCTTGTGTCGCCGTTTATCGATTCAACATGGGAAACGATTTTCACTAACATGTAACGTATTAGAGGGTAACTGAACACCATCTCGCCCAAACGTTCCTCATTGATGATGATGTATCCCAAACCGATGTCGATGATGTCCGAGACGACGTCGCCGAGGAGGTGGTTCCATACCTTGTTGGTTAATATACCGAGCTTTTCATACCAGCTCGATGCTACAAACAATCGAGATTCTATACTTAATGTTCTTAGTGTGAATATTAATTTTAGACACCCGAAATTTATCTTCTTGGTGTTATTTTTCTAAAAAGAATTCGCTCATCAACATTACGACATACATATACATGTCGTATGCGAGTCACGATATCGTATACAATATATTTTGTTTTTCAGAAAAAAAGCAAATATACACGTGTCTTGAAAATGTAGAAAGAGCTGTCATATTTTGGAAATAATATCGGGTATCCTCATTTATTTTATGTCGGGTATCCTCCATCTTATTATGATACAATAGCGAATGCGTTGTTTTGAAAAAGCAAAATCTCAAGTACTCGGAAAGTGAATAATTTTTCGTAATTTTTCATTTTCAGTACCTACTGATTGAATATTGCTTATTTTTTAAATATTTTTCCTGTCAGAAAATCCTGTAAATCCTGTAAATCTAGTGTTAATTCAGTTTACTTTTACCTAGCGTTTACATAACTAGTGACGTAAATGGCCAAGTCCAAAAGCGGCGCGATATCGATAACCTCTGCCTCTATAACGTCCATTTGTCCATCGTTGGTGCCGTTTAGCACGTCGAAGACGATTGGGAGGCCGTTGAAATCATCTCTCAGCTTTACGCTGACCGGCAGCTTGAGGATGTGAGCTCCCGGGTTCCAAAAGCCGAGGTACCGTGTGACAAGACTTGTGTTGTCGGAGTTGCGTATCTTGTAGGTGTGCACCATGTAGAAGGATACCGTGCAATTCTCCAAGATCACGTAGTTCAGATTGCTCGTAGCATTTTCGACGTTGCGTCGTTCTGGTGGGCCTTTGAACTCGAAGCGATTACCGTAACGTCGAAACGACGAACACGTCCTGCGAAAAGGTCATTTAAAACGCTCCAAGTCGCCTCGGCTAACGTTGTTAGCAACAGTATTCGTAGTAAACAAATATGCAATCTTGTAAAAATAAAGGAAACAACAAACAAGGAAAATAAGAGCAAGAAAAAAATGTGTAAAAACTTTTTATATTTTCGGCCATTTAAATAAAAAAATCTCCCCTTAATACAACTAAACTTTTTCTCTTAGTATAGAACTTTAAAAAAATTAAGGGAATGTTTTGATTTAGATTGTTTTAAGTATAAAAAAAACTACTATAAGGAATTGACTAGATCAGACTAAAGCAGAACTTCCTCTTGACACGACAATGAACAAACCAAAACATGTTTTGGTTGTAAGAAGCTCCCGATTCTTATGAATTAAATTGTAATTCAAAATATTTTTATTCTAAGAACGACAAACCCCCCGAAAAAAATTTAGTTGTCAGAACTGAGAGTTCTGTTTCCTTCAATCAAAAAATGCGTTTAATTTGTAGATTGTCGCGTTATTTCAACCAGGCTTTCTTCTCCTTATAACGGCAAAATTCTGAGAAGTGTACTGACTCAAATCGGTCTCCATTATATAAGAAAATAGAAAATAGACAGTAAAAAAGTTGTGTGTAAGTTGTGTGTTAATTTCCTTGCTATGCGGAAAATTGAGAAGTAAGGAAGATTCGCTAGGAAAGACGAAGTTCTAGCATGTTCACGACAATTGATGACTCACTTGTCCCAGTACTTCTGTGCATATTTCCAAGCCGTTGCGTCATTCGGCAATGGCAAGGTGGTGACGACTATGTCACTGTCGATACCGATATTCAAGTCCCGTAGAATTGCATCTATGGTAGAGTCAGTATCTTTGGTGGTCACCAAGAGCCAGGAGAAATAATAGTTGAATAACAGCTTCTGGGAAGCCTGTCGAGACACAATCGTTGGCCGATATAGCAATTATATTAACACGGATTGTCCTTCAATCAGTTGACTGAAGTTATTGCTTGCATCATCAATCATACGCCCTAAAGAAACTTATTAAATGGAAATATACGTTCATGGTTTACACCAAATTTGTCAGTAATTTTGAGTTTAAAAGATTTAAAACGTTAACAAACTGTAAACTGATTACAATATTTCAATTTCCGACTGTTCTAAAAAATAAAGTCATGTAAATAACACATAAGATCATGTAATCCGCGGTCTGAGTTTGAGCAGTAACGCGATAACGAATAAGTCGGCTCGATAAGTTGATTAGAATATTTTGGTAGGAAGGACGTAGAGCAGAGATGCGATCTAAAGCAATTCGCCACAGGATTATCAACGATCTAGGTTCGTGTTTTAAATCGCGAGCTCAGTCATTCAATAACATTGATTTCTCCAGGGAATAGAATTAAGTGAGTCTTGAAGAATTTATTCCATCGCGATTATAAGTGTCATCGTTCGTGTCGATTAGCATTATTACGCACTTGGGAATTAAAATTCCGCATGATAATTAATGTCCGCTTTGATAAACATCAATGGAACCTTAATTTATATTTGAACTTTATTCAGAGAAGAAGACTAAAACTCAGGTTATTAAAGTATAAAAAACGTTGGTAGAAACGTGCACAAGAAATTGTTTAGCGTGTGACATAACACGTCCATGTTCGACACAATTTACGATACTTACGAGATCGCAGATGTTTACGAAAGTAATAAAGATTATTGTAGCAGTATCAGAATGTGATTTCTTGTTAACAATGAAAATAAATCGATTAAAATATCTCATATCAGGTTGATTCCAAGCTATTGGCTGTCTTATATAACGTGGTGTTATCAAGTTTTGAGTCATATAGCAGCGACGTAGCAATCGGGACCTTATAAACTCTTAAAAGCTATCATTAAATAAAATTACATTAAAGCTATCATTTTCAAGAGAGGGAGAAATTTCACTCTAGTATATATATTTTTATTTTAGTTTAAATGATGTTAGTTTAAAACTAACAAAGGGAAGTGTGCTATATTTCTACGAAGTCTTCTATTTTTTTATATTTAACATCCATACGTCAAAGATGGAAGCAAAAGAAACTCAAACAATTATTTTCCTCGTATGTGTTTTAAGTATCCTCCATGTTTTTCTAAATTATTTTATTTTCCAGTAATATTTATGATTGCACTGTTCTATAATTCTTGTTCAATCTTTTTTATTTATTGCTTGTTATTATAGAAAAAAAAAGAATTATCCCAAATAATTTATGTTATCTTAGACTTTTTTGATTATGTTGATGTCTCCAATTCATTATTTGATGACAGCACTCTGTGATATTATCGATTGTTATTATGTTGTATAGCGATTGTGAAACACATATTTATATAAATACATACAATATATACTGCGACGACTTTTCTTATTACTTAAGCGGATAGTTACCTGTCCGCCGCGTCGACAAATTACCGCGGTCCCCGATACGTGGCTTTGGTACACGAAGTTGGGCGCCAGGTGCGGTAAGGCCGCACCTCCTCACTAATCGATGCACCAAAATCGTTACTTTTTCCGGAGTCACGAAATCGAGAACTTACGGAACCGGTAGTTCTATTTTCTATTTCAGTCGGAGATGGTAGTGGGTGTTGGGGAAGGAGTAGACCTCGATCGAGAAAGAAAATATAGGTGATTAAATCGCACGATAATGATCTATTTTATTGTATCGGAACACACTCGTTCCGATAACCATCAAATTACACAGATCTCACGTTAGATCCGTTAACAATACTATATCCAAAGATCTCGCGAGACATTCTCTAAAGGCACGATATGCTACGATTCTCAAATGTCGTTGAAATTCGTGCGGCTACTTCGCTCTACGGACGGTACAACGGCAGGCATGCAACAAACAGAAACGAGTGGTTGATCTTACAAATTATCGACGCTCGATCCTCGTCTTGACCCTTGTGTCAATTCTCCGGTATCCGCTCGCTCGTCCTCTAGCTATCGTTGATCACGGTCCCGTATCTAAAGGTTGACTCAGTAGCGATCGGCAGCCCTCGATAATACGCTATGCGTTCTCGCCGCAACACCAAAACTCTGTCTTTCGACTAACCGCGTGTCTCGGTACCAGCACGATAAGCGACAAGCGCGATCTCTTCTTTTTCCTTCCTTTTTCTTCGCTCCCGTCGCTATCTCTCTTCCTCTCTCCTTCTCTCTCTTTCTTTCTCGGTCTCTTCTAATCACTGCGATTTTAGCGGTCGCCTTTGTTATCTCTCTTGTTGTTGCTCTCGACACCTGATCTTGCGATATCGTTATTGTCAGTCGTCAGCTGTTCGCTCCGGCGGCTCTCCTCTACGCCTCTTGTCATGGTTGAAATTATAAACACCGCTGGCAGCAACCAAACTCGGGACGATAACATTTTCTTATTTCTAAGCTATTGGAAGTTAAAGCTTCGGTACTTGAGTTATACTTGACCGTGATCCTTGATGAGGATGGCGACTCGTCTTGTCTTCCTCCGATCTCGCGCTGTTATTCGGATCCTCCTCCATCGGGTCGGCTGAGGGAGCTTGGGGACACAAATTACGGGGCGCGGGACCAATCCACTCTTTCGATCTTATTTCCGTTCACCTTCACTAAATTTTCGCTAAATTTTCCGCGACCGGTGGTCGGTCTCGCGTTCACGAAACGGCATCGGCGCTATACAATGTAGGCGCATGCAACGATAGACCCGCGTTGGCCCTTGTGCCCTGGTGACGGGTGCTTTCAAGGCCACTACGTCACAATATACACACGCGTGCTCGCATGCTTGCACACAAATTATTAATTATCACGCGAGATCTTTATAAATATCAATATTTAATATCAATATTTTATTGATTAAATTTGTTTGAAGTGATCTTCCTAGGTGCGATACAAGCGATTGGTATAACTGCTGGTGTTCATCGTCTTTGGTCACATCACGCTTACATAGCCAAATTACTGCTTCGAGCTCTGCTTCTTATTTTCTACACTGCGGCTAGCCAGGTAATAAAACAAACTCTTAATTTTGCCATCTTAGATATATATAAGTAGATTAATAGACAACAAAATAGAAAGAAAAATTCGTTACGACTCTGAGAAAAAATTCCCCTGAAACGTAAAATTATATAAGAATTAATGAAAAGGAGAGAAAGAGAGAGAGAGAGAGAGAGGGGGGGGGAGTAGAGAAAGAGATAAGGAAAAATTTTTTCCCATAATGTTTATCTTTTACAGAATAAGATTTCGGATTGGGTGCGAGATCATCGGGTATATCATAAATATACGTACGCGGATCCGCACAACAGCAATCGCGGATTCTTCTTCTCTCACATCGGCTGGCTGATGATGAAAAAGCATTTAGAAGTGATCCGAAGAGGTCGTGAGATTGACATGAGCGATGTTTTGACGGATCCTGTCGTCGTGTTCGACGATAAGTAAATCTATCTCTCGTAAAAAGAGTAAAGTAACAGGACCGCTTATGGCCATTCGAAAATAGTTTTGTCTCTGACAAGCAAAATATAAAATCTAAACACTCTGTCTAAATTGTTAATTATGTCGTATTTTCATCGTCAACATCTAGCTTTTTAAGTACGAATAATATCTCTGAATTATGAGTTATTTGGCATTATCAAAATAGAAAAAAAATAAAAGATCGAAGATTAGCAAGCTCCACTAATTTTTATCGAATTATTTATTTGCTATGTTTGGTTGCCAAATATTCCGGGATACTTAGACTCATTTTTCGGACTACCGGTAGTGGTACCGGTTTATGGATGGAACGAGACATGGATCAGGTCAGTTCAAATGTAATGGTTCTTTCGCTACGTGATCGACTTGAATTGCTCGTGGAGCGTCAATAGTCTGGCTCATATCTAGGGCTCGAAACCGTACGACGTGTGATTTGTTTCGCGTATACAGAACTCAAAGCTGATCCTTTAACATGTTAAGTACGAACGTATAAGACGTATGATTTTTTGATTTCGTAGGGTGAATTAAGCACAAGAGAATTTAAAGTGTTGAAATAATTCTTGTAAAATAAAAGTTTTTTGCATCATGAACAAACTGTCTCAAGGTTTTTCAAACATTCAATCAACGGAAAGTAATTTTAGCCAATAAGCACTAAGCATGAATATTGATAGCAAATAATAATTCTTTATTAACATTTTCGCACGGAAAAAAGTTAGTCATGTATGGCACTTAAATCTCGTTTTAATACACTGGTATCTAATGATATAGCTGTTAGTAAGCATATCTGTTCTCTTTATTATTACTTCAGCATACAATGTCAGGAAGTTCTTTAAGTGTCATACATGGCCGTAGCTAACTTTTTTATGTGCGAAGATGTTAATAAAGAATTATTATTTGCTATCAATATTTATGATTAGTGCTTATTGGCTAAAATTATTTTCCGTTGATTGAATGTCTGAAAATCCTTGAGACAGTTTTCATGATGCAAAAAACCTTTTTTTTCACAAGAATTATTTATCTTACTTAACTTTATTTTACATTCTTTCCTACACCTACTTATTTTCCTTTTTCGCTTCTTATCCTAGATATTTCTTATCCTATTCCTTCTTTTTTATCTTTTACCTCTTATCTTAAAAGTTCCTTATCCTATTGTTAGTAAGCATATATTTAGCCATATAACCGATGTAGTAGAAATAGTAGTAAAAGTTTTGATTACTACAATAAATATATTTTCAGCTAACTATGATTAGCTAAGCTAGTAAAATTCTTTTTTCTGTGTGTGCGGCTCTTATCGGCCCAGTTCCTGTTTTGCATATCATTATAATGTTATAAAGAATCATTGAAACAAGAATATCACTTTCACATCAGGGATGCATCTTCATTAAATGGGGATTGCAGTCAAAGTATTAATACAGACTGTTTTAATAACAGACATATTAATCCGACGAATAATAAGCTAGTTGCTTTTCTGACGTACGGCGAGGGCTGGCACAATTATCATCATGTGTTCCCGTGGGATTATAAAGCGGACGAATTGGGTAATTGCATGCTAAACATCACGACGATGTTTATCAACTTCTTCGCGAAAATCGGCTGGGTGTACAATTTGAAGCAACCGTCGCAACAACTCGTGATGTCCGTCGTGACGAAGAGAGGTGATGGCAGCCATCACATATGGGATCCTATGGCGTATCCCAGCAAGATCGAAGAGTGAAAGAACGGTTCAGCCTTGGGTGTGCAAGGTCCTGTTGTTGAAGAAATTCAATAAGTTGAGTATCGTAAAGCCATCTCAATTGCGCAATAAATTTTATTAGTTACTCGCAATAATTGTAGTAAAGTACTAATTGTAATAAAGTATATTTAATATATTGTACAATGAAGAACGTTTAGAGAAAATGACTCAAAAGTTTACCTTTTACGATTTAATTATTTTTTCATCATTTTAACGTCATCGTAACTTTTTATTTTGCTTAAGTAAATTAGATTTTCGTAATTTTAAGTTCTTTTCTAATGATGTAAAAAAAATGTGTCACATATTTTTACGATAAACATTGTAATATTATAAAATACTAAAATGATATTAGATTATCTGATAATAAAAAAGAAGTGTCCACGCATTACACAGAAAACTGTTTCAATTACTAAATCCGGTTATGTCCTGTTCCTACGCAGTATTTTTACATCAAAGGAGAATGCATTAATATTACACGGAAAAAAAAGATTTGGTTGAATTAACCAAACATCTGATCGAATATGATCCAGAAATTCCGACTGAAATAACCAGAATTCTGTTTAAGTTAACAAAATTTTTAGTAGACTTTTAGTAACCAAACATGTTTGATTAGTCTACCAAAAATCTTGTTAACTTAAACAAATTCGGGTTACTTCAATCGGAATTTCTGGATCGTTCATATTCAACTAGATATTTGGATAATTCAACCAAATCTCTTTTTTCCGTGTAGATGATAACTGAATGTATTTTTACGCAAACTATATATAAACTCCTATATAAACTATATAAACCAAGGATGTGGAGTTGTAAGTAAATTAATTAAAATGCATGAATATTGATGAAATAGGCGTTCTTAAAAAGTTTTAGCTGCATAATATCAAATCTTTTTTCCTCTCCTGTCGCTATAACTTTTTCCAATGATATTTATTGCGTCACAGTTTGTGACGATCCGGAAAACGTCACGACATCCGG